TTCAGCTGGGAGAGACTCTAGCTCTCTAATTTTGAGGGCCAAACAGGTCAAATCCGGGAGAAAGACAGTTTTTTACTATATTTTTGGGCCGGTTTTGATTTCGCCGTTCAGCGCTCAAACCTGTTTTGCGAAACTACGCCCCTGTGGAGGAAGCTCCATGACCGGCACAAGCCACGGATTCGCCACCACAGTTCCTCACCATCCAGCTCACAGCTCCGTTCTCAAATGGAAAGCGTCTGAGCCAAGAGGCAAGTGGATCAAAATCACCGTGAGGTGATCGACAGCCTACAGTAACCACGTAACGGTACCAAAATATTCTAGGATTTTGACCGTATTCAAAGCAGTTTATACACTTCATCTGGTTCTCACATTGCACATTGCACAAACATAGGGTGCCGAATGAAAGGAATTGATATCTGCAAAGTTGTAACTTCGAATTCAAGAACGTGCACAATTAAAACTCATGAATCTGAAGACAACATTTTTGGAAAACAAAGTCATCAAATTTGGATCCATTTTTCAATGTCCTAAAACACCAGAGTGTATATCACTGAGACGAGAATGACAATAGAGCGTCGCTCAAACTAATAAAAACCTTCTCCTTTCCCGGAAAAGGGGGGATCTCGTTCGTGCTCAATCTAGTGAACCGAAACGAGATCAAAATGAAAAGGCCAACCCACGTTTGCCCAAGGACGTCGGCCTTCTCGCATAACCGAATAGTGAAGTAACTTACATAAACAAGTTTTAAGCCTGCGCTCGCTGTCTTAACAGCAAGAACACCGATGGGCACCGGGGTGCGGTTTTCATCAAATCGAGCGGCGTTGTTCACTGCAGATAACACCAGGCGTCGCGGGCCGGGTGCGTGAGAGCGATTGTGGCGAAATAATCATTTCAAAAACCTTTCAAAATTAATCTGCATAGTACAAAGATAAGCTTGGACACGTGCTTCACCTATATATTTCTTAGGTTGACCACCGAACAGCTTAATGGCTACATCAACACGAAACGTTGAAATTTTGCCCGTACTTTTCCAGTCCTACCCCCAGATTACAGCACCATTTCTCTGTGCTGGAAATTCAAATTCGTTGCTCTTGTCAATCTAAATATTGTGCAGGTGAAATATTTGTCCGTAGGGCCTTCTGAACGTACTGACTGATGTCCTAAAACGTTCAAAGGTGCTTTTTCAGATGGGTAGTCGTTTTCGTCCATCCGTTGGCCACCGCCTAGTGTTGGCCAATAGCCGACGCCGTGCAGCTTTGGGAAACTGCAACACTAGGGGCCGTTTTTTGTCCTGTTATCCCGATTTTTGTTGTTCACGATAGATGGCTTCCGATAGAACATTAAAAAACGGCGTGGTGCGCGCTCACCGAGCCCTGGGCTTTTGCTTTAAAGGAGGTCGTCCACATTTAGATGTGGTTTTAAATTGAAAAAAGCCATTTTGAAGACCTTTTGATGCTGCTAACAATCCCATACTACTTAAGACTTAAACCCCTCTGGTTTCTGAGTTAAACGCCCGCGAAAATGGGGAAGGTATATCGGGGTGGGGGGTGGGGGGTCTTTTTAAACTCGCCTTGACATTCATGACGTCATAATAACTTCATTCAAATCCTGTCATTCTGTAAGCAGTGTGGTGATCACGGCCCAAAATAACTGGCTAGGCGTTCATATATGACGTTTGTAAGCGCTTTCCAGATAAAACGACCGCCAATTCGCTGTCAATTAATGTTGTGCAAGGTAAGCTATTGATCACGTAAGCTAACCACGATGCATTGAAGAGCATACTTACTAAACATATAATTTTGTTTTCTGCAGCAGTTTTCACTTTCCGTCATTTCTTATCACCAAAACATTTATTTACTACAGTGAATTAGTCCAAGGGGGCATTGAACGGATCCCAAAACCTTAATTTTAAGGGACATCATGATTTCTTTGATCAAATTCTGCATCAACCCCTTTCGCAAAGAGGCACCACAAAACCATTATTGCGAAACATCACAACTAGTATGTAAGCAGGCCCTCGATTCCAGGAGACACTGCAATAGATCCCATACCATATTTTCAAAGAAGCAACAAAGTTCAGGGGCACCCCGATGTTTGCACCTCCCCATGGACAACATCCACCATCGGTCTCTTCGGCGATGGGTCACCACAACCTTTTTTGAGGCACCATAACCTTTGTTTTTAGCAGGCACCAGATCCAAATGTGTCATTTCAACAACCCCAACATCTCTGCTTTCAAAGCGCACCAAAACAACTTCTGTGCCTTCCACCATAACCAAATCCTAAGTAGGACCTCTCGTCGAAGAGGACCCGATGTCTTTATTTCGGGCATCATGATCTCTATTTTGAAACGGCACTTATTTCTAGGGTGACGCCACGAATGCCTCCAAGCGCTTAAAGTCCGAGGGGCGTCAAACTCCAGAGGACACAACAGCGACCTTTCTTTTTTATTTTCACGAGGAGCCGAGGACGCCACCCTCGGTTGACAGTGACACGCGCTACACCTGGTTGCCTTAGGTTTCTAGGCCCCGAAGTTCCGAGCAGCCATTTGGGCCAGAGGGAACGACGATCAAGGTTCCGATCGAAGGGTCCGAAGGGCAGGCCGGGAGGATGAAGGGACCTCAACCAGTAGGCAATACAGAACAATCCGTCCCCACGCCGGTCTTGCCCCTTGAAGCCTCTTTCCTAAGTCGAAGCAGGGCTTGGCCGGCAAATGTTGATCCGGAAGATCGTGCATTGGTCTGGCCCCTGTGCTGATCAGTGGCCCACAATGCCCAGCAAGGGTGTTGTGTTGTGTTGGGAATGAGCCCAATGTCGACCATGGGCGCCTCTACTGAAGAGGGACAGGAGTGGGATCTCGAATGTCAAAAAGCCTCATGCGTTGGTCAGGACCCTCTTGACAATGACAGGAGACATGAGAAATGGTGATGCAGCGATTTGTACTCACAGTGAGACAGTAACCTGCGCCAGACAGATGTCGCGTGACCGAGCGAGGGGCCCTCCGCACCCTTTCAACCAGGAGCCAGGAGCTAGCAAGCGGAATTGGTGGCTCGGCGCCCATTGCACACTGGACTCCCTGTGCCGGTAAGGGGTCCTTTTACGTCAGTGACATGTCCATGTGCCGATCCTGTATCAGGTGCCCAGATCAGAAGGCCTGCCGCATCAGGGATGGGACCGGTGCATGATGTATCTCTATGAGCGCCTCCAGGTTGATCAGGGCACCCCGGTCTCCGTATCGCCAGAATACCAGTTGCTTGTTAATTCGAGCTGGGGCGAAAAGGCCCTTCAGCTCCTAACCAGGACGACTCATCTATGCAATTTCAAGGTAGAATTTCAGAACGGATTAACAGTAGCAGCATCACGAGAAACCGAGATTACGCCATCGCGTCATGAGTCCGTGATGCTGTACAGGCTAAAAACAATATGAAAATGCGTAGGCAACTGTGTCCGAAATACGCACGTATTGCGTATTGTGTGTTATGTATACTACACATAACAATATATACTCCTTTGCAAGCTTTACTTTTTTGTGCTACAACTAGCCTATAGTTCACATACAAGACAACTTAACGTGCCTGGTACGCATTGTACCTAATATTCTAGTTTTGAACATCTACAACTCATATTGTTTATTTATCGTTTGTGTTATATTTCTCAATATGAATGCGAGAAACTAGTGAACTCCTTCAAGACGCTCAAAACATGCAGTACAAGATTTGAATATTTTCATGGTAACACACTAAAGCATGTCAGCTGTATGTTAGGGAACTGCTCGTATGTTTTGCTCCAAGAAAGAGTAGCGCGTCAAGTCTACGAATTTTAGCAGTTTCATCACCGCTTTTTGTTACCACCACCACCACCTAAATATTCGCGCATGACATGTCACTCGAGTGGCATTACGGGTTAGACAATGTGCACAAGTCAATGCTTTTACGTTAAGCCATTCATGGTGGAGATTGATTCCCAGAGTTGTCCGCCCTCTCTGCCAGGATGACAGATAGGCGTTGCTACGTAGTCTCAGAAGCACGTTAAGTCCCAATAACGCACGAACATTTTCCGTGAAGTTAGCGGCTTACAAACTGCAACTTTCTGTGAATTTTGCAGTATCTAAATCATTACAGTAAGTTATATATATATATATATATATATATATATATATATGTAAATATATATATATATATATACATTCATTTATCTATATTTATATCTATATATGCATATATATATATATATATATACATACGTATATATCATGTTATAGTGTCTTTCTTTTATACTAAATTGTGATTCTCTACAAAATCTATTATTACCTTTACTTCAAAGGACTGATATACCGGGAGCCACGTTGCATACTGTGAAGGACAAGCGAAATATATCAGAGCGGTGGACCAACCATATATTGCGAGGGAACAGTCCAGCATTGGGGGGCCCAGCCCAACATTGTGGATCCAGCTCAACATTGGGGGACCATGACCCACCAAAGAGAGCAAAGTCCCACCCCTGATTGGATCCAGAACTCAAGCATTGCCAGAACTTCCGCGCTGTTATTGGGCTCTAGAGTTAGACCCAAGCAACCCGATTATCGCGCCACGAAAGGATCATGCCAGTCCTTTCACTGCGGTCCTCGCTGGGATTTCCACAGCATTTTCACATGATACAATACAACAACGTTCAGAAATAAAATAACACGATTAAAATTCACACTAGTAAAGTGAGGGTCAATTTATAGGATCAATGTCCATCCCTACGTATAGTCTGTACGTGTTTTGGCCTAATTCAGTTTACTTCAGCATTACTTTCTCCTATACAACACTCTGTTCACCAACAGTTATTTTAGGTGAAGATGAATTGCTTTCTAAAAAGGTTTATGTTATAACTTCAATCACTTTAACAGCTAGAAATTTAAGTTTTGGCGTATTATTTTCTGTAAACGTAGCGAAATGTGTTGTAGTTGTATGTTTGGCAATCTAGTAGCTTTGCGGAGGATATTATTCGTTCTTTTCACCGGAGACCCCATGACCGGCTGAGAAGTGCAGTGCGGGACCCGGTCGTCAAGCTAACAGTAAGCTTTAGAAAAGGGTCCTGTGGCATGCAAATGTACTTGATAGCTGCTGCCTTTCAGTGTCATGATTTGCTTGGCTATAAGAGTAATTTTGACGAATGATATTGGCAGATTTCATTCCCGGGACCTTTTCTTCGATCTGTCGCAGCTTCGTCATAACTGTCTTAAAGCTTTTTTAAGCGGAGATCAATATGCATCTCCGTGCTAAATTGTGAAGATTGTCGTAGAATACTGTTTAATACTGTGCTTTTGTGCCAGGCAGTGGTGTTGTACTCTGCTGGGACGATTACCTGGCTCTTAGCCTGGGTCATAGCATTGGAAATGAGGTCTCAGGCTTCAGTTGTCTACCACCATCTGTAATGTGCAGATCTAGAGAGAAAGTAAATGATGTGCTGAAGTCAAAAATTTTATGGCATTTGAAATTCATTAAGCAAAACCAATTATACTTGTACCAGAAGGGACAGTTGTACTGGAAGACTCTCTTTATCCTAATATTTAAGACAAAGTATATTGTATGGCCTCAAAATAAGACATACAGGGTTTTATATAAAAAGAAATAAGGCCACCAGTCTGTCATTCATGATGGATTTTGACAGGGCCTCATGATGGCACAACTTGGGTGGGGGCTGTAATGCAAGGCAGGATGTTAAACTACAGAGCTGGTTTTGGTGCATATTGGTGAAATCTGTGAGAATGGATTGGGGCCTCAGGGCAGGCAAAATGAAAGCGATGTGATCATTCCATGTTAAGAATTCTGCAGGTTTCCCCAAAATAATTGTTCATAGCTGGGGCTCAATATGTTGATACTGCCATGATCACTGTAAAAATGTAGTGATATTTCTTTATTTTCAACTAACTTAACACCTTTTGTGTCTCAGAATGTGCTTGCAGGGTTTCTTACTTCAAGTAATTAATGTCATAACCAAAAATGTTATAATTATTTTTATGCCAATAGTTGAACATTGTTAGCAAACTTGGCAAACATAATGAGATATAATGCAAATCATGAGGGATATAATGGTGTAGCAAGGTTCCACAAACATTTATCCCAGTTATGATATGATTAGCCAGTAGTCAACTGGCTAGTCACGTATTGAAGAATAAGTGTACCTTATCCTAAGGTATATTAAACTTGAGTCTTTAAGGTATCCTGCCTTATCTGCAAGCTGTAACCTCAGTGTTGTGTACAAATTACTCTTTGTTCAAATAATAATTTTGCAGAATCTAGATGGAAAACATGTTTTAGTGAGCTCTTTAAGGTTAATCTTTGTAGCAAAGGTTCAATCATGTGGACACAGTATGCTGGCTTCTCACAATACTATGATCCCAGCCCAGGACTATTAACATTATTAGCTGCCTGGCTTGAATGTACCTCACAGCATTTCATAGGCTGCTTCTTGTTAGCTCAGGACATTGACAGTTCTGCATGTGTGAGTGTCTGGGCATATGCACTGGGAAAATAAACATGTCAAGAAAACATAGCAAAAAACCTTTTTGCCACCATGTGACCGTTCTAGGCTCTTTGGATGTGTATTCTGTATTGTTTCTGGTACATGAATTGCTATTCTGGATGTTGCATATTATTCCACCTATCAAGCAGAAAGATCCTCTTAAACATTTAAGTGTCATGTTCCAATCACAGGTGGAATGTGTCCTCTTGGTCAAAGAACCATGCTGATACTGCTCTAGGGACTCCAATGAGAAGTATGGACTGGAAAAGTGGTTATTGTTCCTTTCACTTCATCTTCTATAATGACAGGACTGCAGACATGGGCCTTTCATAACCTGTGACTAATTTACTGTGTCATTGTTGGTACTGGGTTTGAGGAGTTAACATGATTGAGCTTGGCAAAAATTGGTCAAGTTAATTTTTCACTTTTTATCTTGCAGCAAGATCAGCAGTTGCAGTCGGCACCCCAGAAAAGAATTTTTGTGGGCTGTGAGTTTTTTGTGTTATTATGGGCATATGGCAGTGGCTATTGCAATGATATAAACCAAGGATGGCTGGAGGGGGTACTCTGCATATTAAAAGATACATGAGGTTTACTGACATTCATATTATCACCCACCAAAATGTTACTGGCTTCCATGTTTTGGAACAAACCCTCTGAGTGGTGCACCTTAATGACCATGTGTGTCATCTGGTCATGGCAGTGACTTAACTGTGTCCACTGAAATGTGGGTTGTATTTCTGCCTGCAGGCACTCATCATGATCCGCTCAATGTTGGACACGGCCCGCGCCAGCCCGTTCCCGACCGTGGCCCAGTGTGAGCCGTCGGCGCCCCGCCGTCAGCTCGTCCACGGCCGCGATGTGGCCGCCTTCAGCACCGCAGGTACGGCACCCGGACGCCAACAGCAAGGGTCAGATATGGGCACTGGGACGTCTGGCATGCTGGGGATGGCACCTGATGTTGGTTGCCGCACGACCGTGTTATACGCTCTCGTCGCCAGGTCGCGTAATTTGCTACGGTTCATCGCTTCTGCGGTGGTCGCTAACCGACGTCCCCATTATCCGTGCATGACCATCTGACCACGTCTCGATGCGTACCTTGGCAGTGAGCTGGCTGATATCTGTTTTGCAGAGCCCGAGTACAGCTGCGAATACGGCTCACCCAAGTTCTTCGCGATCGCCGGCTTCGGCGGTATCCTGTCTTGTGGCATCACACACACAGCCATTGTGCCGCTCGACCTGGTCAAGTGTCGTCTGCAGACGAATGCCGACAAGTACAAGGGCATCTTCAATGGCTTCAAGGTTGAACAATACTAGTTTTTAACTCTTAGAAATAAAGTGGGCTCTAATTTTTACTACCTGCTGATGGTAGTTGTGACAACCAGGTCATGGCTGTTTGTGTTAGTTGAATGGATTGTTTCCTTAAACTGTGTCTAGCAATATATTCAGTTTGGCCTAGGATAATTTTTTGTATGCTTCTGCAGTGGCAATCTGGCAAAGTCAGTTTCACATCCAATGTTGGGGTGACATATGTCTTGCCATGGACTAGATGAGCGATCGGTAGTAGAGGCAATTATAAGTTTTTAGGCACAGCCCATCTGGCGGATCACGTGTCTTATTACATCCTGATCTGTGAGTTTAGCAAGGTACCCAGTCAGCACGTCGACGACAAAAGCAGTCAGCCGCTCGCAGCGGTAACTTTGGCTGAACGTTTCTTATTTTTGTTGTGGCAGTAGGCTGCTCGAGGGCAAAAGCACGGCTATGAGCTGTACTGACGGCTGCGCCCGCCCACTGCCGGCGGTGGTATGTCCGCTCCACTGGTGACCATCCGCTGACGGCCGTGTGTGTGCTCCGCAGGTGACTGTCCGGGAGGAGGGCTTGCGCGGTTTGGGCCGCGGCTGGGCGCCCACCGCCATCGGATACTCGATGCAGGGCCTCTGCAAGTTCGGCTTCTACGAGGTCTTCAAGAACCTGTACTCGAACATGATGGGCGAGGAGAACGCCTTCCTGTGGCGCACAACGCTGTACCTGGCGGCGTCGGCGTCGGCCGAGTTCTTCGCCGACATTGCGCTGGCTCCCATGGAGGCCGTTAAGGTGAGGAGGCTGCCAAGCTGGTGTGAGTGTTAATTGCGGCGGTGCAAGTTGTATGCACGGGGATTATTGCCCGCCAAATAGCGCGTGAAGCTGCGCGCGCTGTCGTGTCTGCACCCGAGTGTCGCGTCTTGACCGCTGTTGGTGTTTGGTGGTGCTGCTCACTGAGCGTGTTTCGTTGTCGGCAGGTACGGATCCAGACCATGCCGGGTTTCCCAGCCACGCTGCGCAAGGGCTTCCCGATCATCATGTCGCAGGAGGGCTGGTGGGGCTTCTACAAGGGCGTGGCGCCGCTCTGGGCCCGCCAGATCCCTTACACGATGATGAAGTTCGCCTGCTTCGAGCGCACCGTCGAGGCCCTCTACCAGTGAGTCCGCCGGCCGCGTGGTTGGCACGCT